CCAGGCTCTATCACTGCAGGGGCATTAACACAGAGAGGCAGGGACTACTGTTACCCACATGCTACAGATGAGGAAACTGAGGCTCAGGAAGGTTAAGAAATTTGTGGCCGGGCGAGGAGGCTCATGCCTGTAATCCCAGCACTTTGGGAGGCCGAGGCGGTCGAATCATAAGGTCAGGAGATTGAGACCATCCTGACCAACATGGTGAAACCCTGTCTCTACTAAAAATGCAAAAATTAGCTGGGCATGGTGGCGGACGCCTATAATCCCAGCTATTCGGGAGGCTGAGGCAGGAGAATCTCTGGGAGGCAGAGGTTTCAGTGAGCCAAGATTGCACCATTGCACTCCAGCCTGGCAACAGAGCGAGTCTCTGTCTCAAAAAATAAAAATAAAAACAAAAAATAAAGGTCACAGAACTAGTAGATGAAAGAGCAAGGCTTTGAACGAGGTGGTCTTTGATGGGAAGCCTAGTCCCCTGCCCTCTCTCAGCCTCACTTTCCTCATCTGTGCAATGGGCACATAAGATGACAGTAGCTTCTCCCTGGGTGACTGTGAGGGTGAGGCAGGCAGAGGGGAAGGAAGTGCCCTGTGGCCAGCCAAAGGCCCTGTAGACAGGGAGGCAGGGGATGGGGCAGCCAGGGGCGTGGGGGAGCTGGTGAGGGCCACGCGGAGTGGGGTAGGGCCTGGCATCTCAGACCATTTGTGGCACGGCCTTGGATGGTCCCCAGCTTACAGCCCCACTTCCTCTCCATCAAGTACGGAGAGGCAGAGCTGCCTGGCCCAGGTGTGACTGGCCCCTCTCGGTGGAAGGCAGGCTCCCAGTGCTCGGCACTCAGCCTTCTGGACTTGACGGTGTGAGTTTGCCCCTGAGATGGAACACAACTCCTTCCTTGCTATTTCTTCACCCCAGCCAGCGTCTTGGGCCCCCACGTGCAGGGCGTAAGATCCTCTTCATGGACGAGAGCTTGGACAGCACGAAACACAGTCTAATCTTGGGCAGTGCCCCTATCCCCCAGGGCTGTGGCCATGCTTTATCTCCTTGACTCAGACCTGTCTTAGAGTGGAGGGTGGAGAGTTATGGGGGTGTGGGGCCCCCCATCCCTTGCTCTGCTGGAGAAACTGATTCCTCAGTGGCCCAAATGCGAAGATGGGCAGGAGCCTTCCCGGTTCTCCCATTCAAGTGTTCCTCAGGCCCAACCCTGCTGAGATTCTGAGACTGGATGAGACCACGTGTATTCAGGGTGGTCTTTCCAGAACTGCAGACTCTTCCCAGTTCTGATACCTCAGGAGGCTGAGCACCTCAGGAGCCTTGTGCTGCCAAGCTTGGAGGCTCATGCTACAAGCCCCCAACTCTTTCCACCCTTTAAGAAGGGCCTGGCATCTCTGCAATAACTGGTCAGGACTCAGAGAGAGAAAGAGGCAGGGTCTTAATCATTTATTCATTCCTTCAGCAAGCAAGCCCTTCTTGAACAGCCACTGTATACTGGGAGCTGGCGGGCGGCCCTGGAACACCCTGGGCTCAGTCTAGTGCTAGACTGACGATTGGGCCATGATGAGGCCAGGGGTGCATGCTGTGGAAGCCTGGAGCAAGTGCCAAGACTGGTGGGCCTTCTGGAGGAGGTGCCTCTTATGCCCAGCCTGGCAGGAGGAAGAAGAGCAGGTGTTCTTTATTTATTAAAAAAATATTTTTAAGCCAGGCATGGTGGCTCACACCTGTAATCCCAGCACTTCGGGAGGCTGAGTGTGGGGGCAGATCACTTAAGGTCAGGAATTCAAGACCAGCCTGGCCAACATGGTGAAACCCTGTCTCTACTAAAAATACAAAAAAAAATTAGCTGGGCATGGTGGTGCGTGCCTGTAATCCCAGCTACTCAGGCTGAGGCAGGAGAATCGTTTGAACCCGGAAGGCAGAGGTTGCAGTGAGCCAAGATTGCACCACTGCACTCCAGCAAGACTTCGTCTCAAAAAAAAAAAAAAAAAAAAATCCAACGTTTTTAGAGATGGAGTCTCACCCTCTCACCCAGGCTGGAGGGTAGTGGTGCGATCTCGGCTCACTGAAGTCTTGAACTCCTGGGCTCAAGAGATTCTCCCTCCTGCCTCAGCATCCTGAGTAGCTGGGGCCACATTCAACTTTTTTTTTTTTTTTTTCTGGTAATTTTTTTAAAGAGATGGGGTCTTGCTATGTTGCTCTGGCTGGTCTCGAACTTATGGCTGCAAGTGATTTTCTGGACTCAGCCTCCCAAATTGCTGGGAATATAGGCGCGAGCCACTGCCCCTGGTAAGGTGTTCTTTAGAGACTGCTCCCCCAAAAGGAGAGGGCACAAAAAGGGGATTTTAGCACAGCACTCAGGCCCGGCTGGCGTACAGTCCCTGCCACCTCTGCTATGCCCTCTGCTGTCACTTCTAACCCATGTACTGGCACCTGCATTGCCATGGTTTGCATCTGTCGCACTCAGAGCCTGGGAAGTCCCTGAGTGCCAAGGCTGGGTCTCCTTCCTCATTCCATTTCTCAGTGCTTCACACAAGGGCTGCACACAGTAGGTTTTCCATGTTGCTGCTCCTAGTAGCCTTCCCTCTCCCCCAACTTGTACCTAAGTCAGAGTTCACACAGGTCCAGCATTTACTTTTTAGCTGGCAGAGCATGTTCCCATACATGAATGCATGTAGTGTGCACCGAAGCAAGCCCAGTGTCAAAAGTGTCATCGTTGTCATCAGCATCAACCACTGGAAAATAGCACAGCATGGTGGCTTCAGCATGTGGGTTCTGTAGCTGGTCTGCTCAGATTCAAGTCCTGGCCCTACCACTTATGGGCTGTGTGACCTTGAACAAGTTTCTTGGCCTCTCTGTGCTTCCGTTTCCCAATCTGTAAGATAGGAATAACATATCTCACAGGAGTATGGAGAGGCTACAGGTAAAGTAAGAAAAACACTACCTACCACATTAGTCAGCTCACTGCTTATGGTAGCTGTTACCATTCTATTTATAGAGAAGGACACAGAAGTTCAAGGTCAAGATGACCCAGCTGTCCGGTGGAACAGGGTTTTTACCTCTGAGTTGTTAGACGTTAGATTTCAAATACAGTGTTTAGGGATAATCTCCTCCTCCCCTTGCCCCACCTCCCTTGTCACCTTGTCTCCTAAGTTATCTGTTTATACATCTGGTTGTCCTTCTCAACGGGGCTCTTCAAATATAGGGGCCTGAATTAGGTTGGTTCTCTCCGGTCTCCCCAGGGCCTGCCTGGAGAAGTGTGGGGCCACCAGTCAACTCCAAGGCCGCATGGAAGAAGCCACACACTAACTTCCTGCTAAGGTGTTCTGCTGAGCACCTCCACACGGAGGACCTCATGGGCGCCTCCAGACCACTCTACGACGTGGGTGAAAATTCTCTACATCTGTCCTGAGGTACACTAAACTGCACACATTTTGTTCTGATGTATGTATACACCCACAATCCCATCACCACCATCAAAAATGGCAAACATTTCCATCACCCCTAAAATTTTGCCATGCCTCTCTGATATCCCTTGCTCCTCCCAATTCTAGATTTATTAATTTTTTTAGAGATAGGGTCTTGCTCTGTTGCCTAGGCTGGAGTGCAGTGGCACAATCACGGCTCACTGCAGCCTCAAACTCCTGGGCTCAAAGCGATCCTCCATCCTCAGCCTCCTGAGTAGCTAGGACTACAGGTGCGTGTCACCACACCCAGCTCGAGCTTATAGATTCATCTCCAGTTTATAAAGGAGGACACTGAGGTACTGAGAGGTTAAAAAACCTTCCCAGAGACACTTGTCCAGCAAGTGGCCACTCCAGGATTTGAACCAAGGTGACATGTCCTCAGGCTGCCTCTCTGCCACTGTGCCATGCTGCTGAGTAGTAGTCAGCAGTGGGCAGGTGCCTGTAGTGGTCCGTAAAGACCACCTGAGGTATCCTCCCTCCTCTGTTCCACCCTGTCCAGGTCCAAGAAGACAGTTTAGGAAGAGACTGCAGGTGTGACTCTCTCAGTGTGCTCCTGTATGAGAAGCAGGCTGGCACCCCAAAAGGAAGGACAGATGACAAACAGAGACTGTGCAAGCAGAGGAGATAAGGGGGCCGGAAAGCCCGGAGGCTGGGCGATGCGGGAGCCTGCATGTCCCGAGGGGGGTGCTGGGCCCAACGTGAGTACGTGTGACTGTGACTGAGACAGTGTGACTGCTGAAGGCAGGGACATAGCAGCTCCCTGACTGGGGGCGGAAGGCGTTAGCTGTGTGAAGGCTGGTTGTGGGTGGGTGGGCTCTGGGCCTCGAACCCGGGGGCTGAGGGAGATAGTAAACAGCAGGGTGACTGGCAGGAGGATCGTGTTGGTAGCCCTGGGAAGATGCGGCAAGGCTGTGGGGGATTGTGTGACTTTGCAGTTCAACACATTCAAATTCAGCCAATGCTGGCAGGGCCTGTTGTGCCAGGCAACCGGCGAGGAGGAGGAGACTCGGACCCAGCTTGCAGCTGAAGGGCGCTGGCTGCCTGGTTTTGTGGGTTCACCTTGTGGTGCCTTTTGCCCTTGCTGGCGTTTAGTCCTCAAAATAGTTCCATCCTCACGTTGAGGCTAGATGGAGGGACACAGAGGAAAGTGACTAGCCCAAGGTCACCCAAGTGCCGGGGCAGGACCTGAATTCAGGCTCCCAGCCTGAGTGCCTCCCTGCCACGCCTGTGCCAGGGTGGAAATGTCTGGTCCTGGAGGGGAGCTTGGACTCCTGGCCTTGGCTCTGGAGACATCCCCCCTGGACCACGTGGGCTCCTAACCTATCCATGGTCACAGTGCTGAGGGGCGGGACGGTGGGTCGCCCCTAGTTCTTCTTTTCCTGGGGCCAGATTCATGGACGGAGGGGCTGCTCGGCTTTCAGAGACCCCCTAAGCGCCCCGCCCTGGCCCCAAGCCCTCCCCCAGCTCCCGCCCCCCCTCCTGGCGCTGACTCCGGGCCAGAAGAGGAAAGGCTGTCTCCACCCACCTCTCTCACTCTCCTCTTTATAAAGGCCGGAACAGCTGAAAGGGTGGCAACTTCTCCTCCTGCAGCCGGGAGCGGCCCGCCTGCCTCCCCGCGCGCCCGCAGCCTCCCCCGCTGCCTCCCTAGGGCTCCCCTCTGGCCGCCAGCGCCCATTTTTCATTCCCGAGATAGAGATATTTTGCGCGCACACACATACATACACGCGCAAAAAGAGGAAAAAAAGCCCACCCTCCAGCCTCGTTGCAAAGAGAAAACCGGAGCAGCCGCAGCTCGCAGCCCGCAGAGGACGCCCAGAGCCGCAAGCGAGCAGGCGGGCAGACGGACCGACGGACTCGCGCCGCGTCCACCTGTCGGCCGAGCCCGGCTGAGCGCAGAGCGGGCACGCCGCGCGCGCGGAGCAGCCGTGCCCGCCGCCCGGGCCCCGCGCCAGGGCGCACACGCTCCCGCCCCCCCACCCGGCCCGGGCGGGAGTTTGCACCTCTCCCTGCCCGGGTGCTCGAGCCGCCGTTGCAAAGCCAACTTTGGAAAAAGTTTTTTGGGTGAGACTTGGGCCTTGAGGTGCCCAGCCCTGCGCTTTCCGATTTTTGGGGCCTTTCCAGAAAATGTTGCAAAAAAGCTAAGCCGGCGGGCAGAGGAAAACGCCTTTAGCCGGCGAGTGAAGACGAACCATCGATTGCCGTGTTCCTTTTCCTCTTGGAGGTTGGAGTCCCCTGGGCGCCCCCACACGGCTAGACGCCTCGGCTGGTTCGCGACGCAGCCCCCCGGCCGTGGATGCTCACTCGGGCTCGGGATCCGCCCAGGTAGCGGCCTCGGACCCAGGTCCTGTGCCCAGGTCCTCCCCTGCCCCCCAGCAACGGAGCCGGGGCCGGGGGCAGCGGCGCCCGGGGGCCATGCGGGTAAGCCGCGGCTGCAGCGGCCTGAGCGCCTGATCGCCGCGGACCCGAGCCGAGCCCACCCCCCTCCCCAGCCCCCCACCCTGGCCGCGGGGGCGGCGCGCTCGGTTTACGCGTCCGGGGCCCCGCGGGGCCGGACCCGGAGTCGGCATGAATCGCTGCTGGGCGCTCTTCCTGTCTCTCTGCTGCTACCTGCGTCTGGTCAGCGCCGAGGTGAGTTGCCACAGCGGCTGGGGCTAGTTCTTCTTTCATTACCTTCGCCCCCACCTTCTGACCGCCCCCTCCTCTCCCTGCAGTGAACTTTGGACCCTTGCAGCCCGCAAGCCTGACGCCAGGCGCTGGGTGACCTCCTCGGGCTGGGAGCGAGGTCCGCGGGTGACAGGCTCTAAGGGAAGGCAACAGCAGTGGCTTTCTTTCCAACCGGCGGTCGAACCTGGCTCCCTAAGCCGTTCCGCGTCGGGGGAGGGTGTGTGTGGCCCTGCCCCCCACCCCTCGGGAACCCGAGAACAAGCCCGTTCCCGGCCGGGGAAGAGGGGGTGGGGTGGCGCCCCGGGTACAGAAGGCAGCGCGTCCTCCCGAACCCACTTCGGCGCCAGCCTCGGCTTAGGCTCTGTCCTGCCACCGGCTTGCCCAGGAGGTGCAAGCTTTCGCACCAGTGCCATCCACGCCGATCTCTGGCGGGGTTCGGGTCCCACCCTGGCTCCCGGTGGGGGTCCGGGTGGGCGCCCTCCGGCAAGCGCAGAGCATGCCCGGCCCCAAAGCACTGTCTGGTAGCAGCTTGTGTCTCGGGCGCGGGGGCTGGGGGGTGGGTAACAAGGAGAGAGAGATAGAGCGGGAGAGACGGAGGGACAGAGGCGCAGGTAGGTTTCGGGCACTCAGATAGCGGAAGAACTGGGGGCTCTGAAGGAATCCAGCCCCGGGGGCGCTGTGTGCCTGAGGCCTCGCCGTACCTGTGCCCGCGCCCTGCGAGAGGAAGCACCTCTCTCCCCCGCATGCAGGGTGCGGAGCGCGCCGCCTGCAAAAGCCTAGCGGCACAGGAGATGGGGTGTAAAAACATCTACGGGAGCGCTGGGGTCGGAGCCGTCCCCACCACTCCCAGCCTCACGTAGCGGTGAGTTGGCAAGTCTACCCGGAATCCAGGTGGGAAAGGGGGCGGGGCGGGAGGACGCGCGCGGTGGAGGGGAGGAGAGGGCAGCCGGGAGCGCGGCGTGCCTGGGTCCCGTCCCACCCCCATCCAGTCGCGGCCAGGAGTCCCCACCTCGCCCGCACCTCGCCAGCTCCAGGGGGGTCGGCCCCTGCAGCCTCCTGCCAGGCGCAGGAAGGAGGCAGCGGCGGCGAAGGGGTTAAAGCAGAGGGCTCGGAGTCCGCGGCCTGGCCTTGGGCCGCCGCCAGCGCAGGTTGTTTTGACCACGGAGGAGCAGTCGCCGTCTCCTTTTGTTCTCGGGGCTCCTAGAGGGCCGCAGGCCGCCCGCCCGGGGGCCCCGCCCTTCCGCGGCGGTCCCCAGCGGCCGGCACCCGGGAGGGAGGACACGGGTCTCGGCCTGGCCGCCTGCAGGCCCCTCCCGACGCCCCCTCCCCGCCTTTCCCGCAGCACCCCGGGCCGCGGCCAGCTGTTGGGGAGGGGGTGGCCGGCCGGCCCCAGCTGCCGCCTCGCCTCGCCGTGGGACCTGGGGGCTGGGCCCGGTGCCAGGGCGTCCTGGGAACGGCGGCGCCCCGCGGCTGCTCTCCGCAGCCCACCCCGCCCGGGCCCCCGACTCGCTCACTCACCCCACGCATGCACACTCCTGGCCGGAGGCGATGCTGCGCTCCGGCGGGCGGGCGCGCAGAGCGACGGGCACGCACTACCGCGGCCGGGTCGCGCGCCCGCCGCCGCCACGCCCGTGCACACGCGGGACACACGCGCGCGCACCGCACACAAACGCACGCAGGGTCCCTGCACGCGCTGTCTAAACACACGTGCGCGCACACCCACACACGTACACAGGCACGCACGGACCCCCGTGCACCCAGCGCCTGGTGCTCGCCCCCGCGCAACAGGTGGGCCCCCCCCCCGTGGGCCCCAGCACCTCACCACCTCTGTAGCAGCCCCATTTCCTTCCTAGCGTCCTGTGAGGGAGGAAGAACCTCCCATCAAGCCCCAGCTCCACAGCACCCACTTTTTTTTTTTGCCTTGTCAGGTCAGCCCCTCAAACCTTACCCATATTCGACTGCTTTTTTTTTAACCACCTCCTCGTGGCGGAAATTGGTGGTGATGTGACTCTGAGGGGCACTGAGGTGTCCAGACAGATTCCCCCCTCGCGTAAGCCTTTATTTGAAAGTGCAAGGCTGGAGGGACCTGGAGTGTGCAGCTGCGGAGGAGGCTCCCACCCCTGTCTGCTTCATTCTCTTGGCTGATCTCAGCGTGCCCCTGGGAGGCTGCTGCTGACAGCTGGATGTTTCCCCAGCCTCCCCTTACCATTTCCAGCTCTGTCCAGCACCTCCTCCTCCTTTCCCACAGCTCTGCAGGCTCGTGTATCTGGGGTGGAGGCTGCCGCACAGAAACTGCCTTTCTCCTCACTTTAGTCGCAGCGTTCTTGAACACATGGCCACAGGCACAGTGTATGTAGTGCTTTGCGGTTTATGAAGCACTTTGCTGCTAAGCCTGAGTAAGCCTCAGGCTAGCCCTGGGGGAGGAGACCTGCATGGGGATCACAGCATTTGGGGGCCAGTCTGGGAAGGAGCTGTGATGGCCAGTGCTGGGAGAGTCGAGGCAGGCCTTCTGGTGGAGGAGGCCATGGAGCTGGCCACCTCCTGGTCATGCTTGGACTAAGCTTTCAGTGGAGGGCAGGCAGCCCCGAGGCAGGGCTGCGCGGAGGGTCTGCTGAGGCCTGTGAGGTGCCATCACCACCCGCTGAGCTGGTTTCCAGGAGGGCGAGTCCTGCTGTCACAACAGGTCTGGCCTCAGCACCCTTCTCTGGAAAAGAGTGAAGGGCTCCACAGCGCTTCGCCACCCAGCTTCCTCCGGGTTTGCTAATGGCCCTAGGGGGCAGGAGACAAACTGCTGGAATCCAGAGCCCTGGAGGTGTGCAAGAGCAGGTCAAACAGAATTTGGAGGATCTGGTGCAAGAGCCAGGAAGAGTGTGTGTGTGTGTGACAGAGAGAGAGGCTGACTGAGCAGGAATGCTGAGATGTTTACCATGGGCCTCATAAGTACCTCTCCAATCTTGTCTTCCCCTCCCAGCATTGAGGAGCCTCTTCTGTGGCAACTCTTCCCATGTTCTGCTTTATTTCATTGTTTATTACCTGCTTTCCCCACTGGAGTGTCAACCTCACTGGAGAGCTTTCCTCCTGGTCCCCACTGTTAGAACAGTGCCCAGAGCACTGTGGGGAATCAGTAACTATTTGTGCAAAGAACAGTGAGTGCTGGGTTGTGGGGGAGGGCAGGCCCAGGCCCCCTAGGTGCTCCAAGGCCCAAGTGACTCCTCTGCTCCAAGGGCAGCGCCCCCGTTCTCGGCCCTCTGGTGGGCATCAGTCTTTCAAGGTCTCCCATCTTGAGAGAGAAGCATGTCTTTCTCTTCTCTGTCTTGGGACTTGGGCTGCCAGGATTAGACAGGACAGAGGAGAAGAAACAGAAAGAAAATCAGACTGCAAATGTTCTGTGTATCTTTAGCTGGGGCTAAGTTTCTGCCACCTAAAAAAAAAAAGAGAGAAGACTGGATTAGCTCAGAGTTTCCAAAGAACAGTAGAATCCCCTGGCCTCGAGCTGGGATGGGGATAGGTAGTTATTGCTGTGGCTGCCAGTATTATAAATGGCTGGACTAGCTCCTCTCTTCCTGCTTTAATTTCCCTCTGCTCCTGCAAGAGGTGGGGAGGCCAGGGTGCTGGGCCCAAGTGAAGGAATGGAGGCTGAGCAGGAGGGTCCCAGGAGCGAGAAGGAAGGGCAATGCAGTTTGGAAACACTGGTTCTAATGGCTTATGTGGTTTCCCCCGAGAGGGCTTCTTTGAAGGAGTTGGTTGGCTTTGGCATCTGATCTAAATAAGGCCTGCGACTGTGAAGCAGGCAGGCTCTGGGAGGCCTCATCAGCTTCTTCCTCTGCCAGACAACGCCCCTGGTTGCTTGGGCCTGTGTCTCCCTCGGTGGGAAAGGCAGGCGGGCTGGGGAGTGTGTATCTGTGTGTGTGTGCTGGGCCCAGAAGGAGGGTGGGGTTCCAGCCCCTTTGATCTGCCAGCCTGGTCGGGAGCAGATCACTCACCTGGCCTCACGCTTGCTCGTGCCCTTCCTACCTGCTGCAGCTGGTGCTGGGGCGGGGTCAAAGGAGGCTGTTTGCCTTGGCTCCCATGGCTGGCTTTGCCCCAGCTGCTGCCTTGCCACGCCCTCGCCCTGCCAGAAACCCCAGGCCTGAGATCTGGGGCAGCTTCTTCAGGGTGCCAGGCCTCCTTTCCCATCTTTGAAGGGAGCTGCCCACCTGGAGGCCTGGGGAACCTGTGCTCAGGAAAACCAGGCTCCTGGTGGCTCACCTTCCCATACCAAGAGGAGCCTCCAACTCCCAACAGGTGCTCATGCTCGTCATCCACAGAGGATTGCATCCTGGAGCTGAGCACAGGCTGAGTGTCCCCCCCACCCTCACCCACCCCCAGCCCCGGAAGGGCCCTGCCAGCCCACGAGGCCCTAGGCTCTGCCAGTGTGGAGGTAGGGTACCATTTCCTGGAGCCCAGCACAAGGGATAATACAAAGTCACGCACCCTTCCATGGGCGGGCAGCTCTCCACCCACTCCTTGTCATCCTCAAAAATGTCCTGCGCTGCTGGCCCTGAGCACGTGTGCCACTCGCTGCTGCCCACAAAGGAGCCATCCGGAAAGAATGATGATGACAGTGACAACTTACTAAACACCCATTATCTGCTGGTGGCTCTGCTCTGTACAGTTATGCCTCCCAGTAACCCTGGGTGAGGTATTATTAGCCCCATTTAAAAGATGAAGAAGGAGAGGTTTTAGATGGTGACAAGATTCCAAGAATCCATGTTGTGCCGGCATTTGGAGCCCTTGCTCTTTTCTCTGCTATAGGATTTCTCAGCCTCTGCACTACTGACGTTTGGGACGCCTGTCCCATGCCCCGCAGGGTGGTGAGTGGCATCCCGGCCTCCACCCACTTAGATGCAGGGCATGCCCCACATTGTGGCCACCAATGTTGTCACTGTTCCTTGGGGGCCCAGTTGGCCCCGGTTGAGAACCTTTGATGTGAGACATGCTTCAGGGTGAAGAGACAACACGAACCTTGTGTGATGCTGAGGGCCAGTGGCCTTGGATCTCCGGAGAGGGAGGCTGAGGTGCCCCATGGTGGGCTGGAAGGGGTGGGCGTTCTGGAGCCTGGGAATGACCCAGCTGTGCCACTTCCTGACTGTCTGGACCTGTAGCTGCTTGTATAATTTTTTTCTAAGCCTCAGTGTTCTCCTCTGGAGGATGGGGATACAAATACTGCCAGCCTCTTAGGATTGGTAGTTTATGCGGCGTTTTTCTCGGTGTGTGGCTTGTAGCTGGCACTTAAGAAATGTTAGTTGTAGTATTATTATCAAATCCAGGGGCTTGTGGTGAGTTCTGGGCATCTAGTGGCCAAATTACCAGAAGCCTCTGCAGGGATGGCTTCCCTGCTCAGATTAAAGGGACTCTAGCAGCTCATTTGCATAGAGATTGAGGAAGAATATCCCAGGTGGCCCTCCTGGTGGAGGAGGTAGACGAATCATCCTGAACAGAACCTGGAGAAGGATAGACTCCTTCATGCATTGGACCAGTATTTATTGAATATCGACTGTGTGCCTCTTCCACATCCTCAGACCCTATCCTGGGCTCTGTCGCACTCAGCCTTGTAGGGTCTGAGTTTGTTTCTGTAAAAATGTCATCTTTGTGTTAGGGGCCTGGGTCCGGGGTGTCCACTCAGCCTGTTCTGGGGGTCTGCCTCCTCTGCCGTGGCTGGCAGCTGTGGCCAGCTCTCCAGTGGGCAGGAGATCTTGGCGCAAGCACTACGTGCCATTTGCTGCTAGGCCTTTGCGCCCCTCCCCTGGGGGGTTCATTGAATCTTATACTCCACAAACACTTCTTGTTCTCCTCCTGCCAGTGATCCAGGGAGGCCTGGCTGGGCACCCGGCTTTGGCATTTTCTCTGCTCCTTCTAACACCTTCTGGCAGAATTAGAATTGAATTGAATGTTCTTCAAGGCCCTTGATTCACAGATGAGAGGCAGGACCATCGGGGCAGTGACCAGCTGAGGTCACATGTCAGTTGGTCTGAAGGCGTGGGATCTGGCCCTCTGGTCTGCCAGTTCTGGGTTTGACAGAACTCTCAGGGGAAGCAGCTTTTGCTGGTGTGCACTGGAGACCAAGCCCTCTGTTCTGTGGGTTGGGTACTTTGTCAACATTTGGAGAACACCAAAGGCGTGGCCTCTCTTCTAAGGTGGAAGGAATGAACTTGAACTTGCTTGAGGGCGGGAGGAGGCAGGCCGGGGGAGATAGGGACAAAAGTGAGGGGCAGCAGGGCCCATACCCTCCTCCGTCTCGCACGTGCAGCTCCTGGCTACCCGGATACTGAAGGAAAGACCCTAGTTCTCAGCCAAGCCCCGAGACCTGTTTTCCCTCGAGTCGCTCAGCAGCTCTTAGACATTGGGCAGGGTTGTAAGCTCCATGTTCAAACAAAGACTTGGAGACTCAGGGGTTTCAGGGAATGATGTAGATTTAAAAGTGGTCACCCCACCTCCCACCCTGAGTCTCCTAGCTCCTGGGTCCATGTGGGTGGCCAGAGTTGGTCATGGCTGAACCCCTGGAGGTGTTCCTAGACTTCATGGTAAGCTGGCGGAAACAGAGCTTTTGGAGAGAGCCCCTTGAGGCTGGCTGCAGGGCCGAGACGTGCTCTTCTCCTTCGTCCCTCGCTCCTCCTCCGCCATCAGGCAGTGAGAAGGCAGCAGACCCTTTTGTGAAGGTGGCCTGCCGCAGCCCCGCTGAGCCCCTCTGACGTTCGGCTTGGGGAGTGTGGAGTGGACCAAGAAGGGCCAGAAGTCCTCCCTTCTTAATCCAGGGAAACTGAGGCAGAGTGATTTAACCCGAGGTTCTACAGTAGTATGCCAAGCCTATCGACGCTCTCTCCAGTGCTTTCTGTCCAAACCATGCAGCCTGAGTGCTTGTGCCTGCATGGATGTGTGTTTGCAAGTGTGTAAGTCACACGTATGTTGCTTGCACGTAAGTCATGTGTGTGTTTGCATGCATGTGCGTAAGTCATATATGTATTGTTTGCAGATGTGTAAGTCACATGTGTGTTGTTTGCACATGTGTAAGTCATGTGTGTGTTTGCAGGTGTGTAAGTCACAAGTGTTGCTTGCATGTGTGTCGTGTGTGTTGCTTGCATGTGTGTCACATGCGTATTGTTTGCATGCATTAAGTCACGGGTGTTTGCATGCATGTAAGTCACATGTGTTTGTACATGTGTAAGTCACACATGTGTGCTTGTACACGTGTAAGTCACGTGTGTGTGTTTGTACGCATGTAAGTTCGGTCTGAGCCTTCTAGCATGCAGCGACATCTTAGAAATTTTCTTTGCTTCTCCATGGCTGGTGGTCTGGATTGTGCTTCTCAGTCTCCTAACTGCCCTCACCTCTTTCCTGGGATCTCTGTCACCAGCCCCTTAGATCTTGTGGGATGGAGGGGGACGTGGCTGTGACCTTCCTACGGGGCTGCTCTCGTGTCATTGTGGGACCTGTGGTTTCCCTGGAGGAAGCCCGGCTCCGAATGAGGCCTGTTAAAGTGCTTATCAAGTTTCGAGTGTGTTTGGCAAACGGCCAAAGGGGCTCTAAAAATAGGGTTTGGTTGGGCGCAGGGCACGGGTACGCTTTCAGGTTTCCCGGCTGTATCTGAGGATTCCCTTTTCGCCTCCTTCAAGTGAGAGACCTCACAGTTACCGCTAGGACCTGAGGCCTCCTGAGGCCATCGCACTCTGCGCGCATTTATTAAGCACCTCTTATACCCAGGAGCCTGGGAGTACAGGCTCTGTCATCACAAAGGTGTGGGTTTGAATGCAGCGTCTGCCAATAATTGAGCCTCTCTTTAAACCTTTGTTTTCCCTTCTGTAAAATGGGGGTGAGATTGGCCTTTGGAAACGCTGGCTGTCTTCGCCGTCAGGTGTGGAGTGAGACTCAGAGAGAGATCAGATTTTGGTGCCTTCCCGGAAGGTGTAGTTCGGTGGGGGAGACAGATGTAGACAAGTCCGACTCAAAGCAAGCTGGGGTTCCTGCTGGGGGTTGAAAGTGCAGGATCTGAGCTGGGTCTCAGAGGCTTCAGCAAGTCCAGGCCCCCAGGCCTTTGTGTGCCTGGTCCTCAGTCCTGGATCCTGCCTGTCCATCAACTCCGTGACCTCAGAGCTTTCTGCAGCAGACAGTGTGTGGTGGGGGAGATGGCCACGCCGGAAAGCCCCGACTCCCAGCTCACTCAGCCTTTGGTGTCTGCCCGGCAGGGGGACCCCATTCCTGAGGAGCTCTATGAGATGCTGAGTGGCCACTCGATCCGCTCCTTTGATGACCTCCAGCGCCTGCTGCAGGGAGACTCCGGAGGTAAATGGAATCCTTGACCCACTCTCCAAGGAGACTTTAAGGGAGCTGGGAGGGGCAGGACAGGAGGCATCCCTCCTCCTCGACGTTTGGGGAACTAGAGGCCCGTGGCAGCCCAGAGAGAGCCTGGCCACACCCATCCAGGGCAGGGCCAAGTCAGCAGATGGGCTGGTACCTGGAGCTTTGGGTGTGGCAGGAGAAGCACCCACGTGTGGCCCCGGCTTGGTGCCGAGCGTCGGGTGCCGGGAGGAGGGTAGACGGGCGGGGAGAAGGTGTCCAGGGCATCTGCTGGGTATGGCTCCAGGTGTGGGCCTGGCCAGGGAGGGTGGCACTGGAGGAGCCATCTCCCCGCCCTTCTGGCTAGGGGCCCGGTCTGTGAGGCCTCCTGGGGACACCTGGTCCCGACCAGCAGGCAGCCCTGCCCGTGCCCCAGAGCTCACTCAGCGAATGGGCACGTGCTCGGTGGCACACACGTGGCGGGGCTGGCGGGCTGGATTGACAATGTATTTATAAACACTGTCTTCAGAGCAAATTCCATTCTATTCTAACCTCTGGCCCGTTCCCTGGAGCCCTGGTCAGCGGCCCCCCTGCACCCCCAGGTCCCCTTCCCTCTGGGGTTCTGTCTCTTTGTCACTTTGTAATCCTTGCCCAGACGCTATCTACGGGGGAACAGCATTTCCTGCCTTTGTTTCCTCTCCCCGTTGGGCCCCTGGCTCCCTCTCAAAAGCATTCCCGGGCCCTTTCAATCCCGCCTGTGCTGGGGGCCGGTGAGGCAGGCAGGAGGGGGCCCCAGCTGGGCCCACCTATTGTTCACCAGGGCCCCCACCCGACGTCTCCCACAACCCCCACCCTATGCCCGACTGGCTGCCCCTGACCACACACAATGGGGCAACTTCCAAATTTAGCCTTTCTACCATTTCTTTCCAAGCCTTTACGCCCCCACCCTCCGACGGCCCCTCCACACCCCTGGTGGGGGTCGGGATCTTGGAGATGAGGCTCTCAATAGCAGGCCTGTTTCAAGGCAACCATGTGGCTATTTTTTCCTAATCAACTTAACGTTTCCACAAAGCGCATCTTTTCCCCATCTCCTCCCCACCAGGGACATTCCAGAGATGGCCGGGAGAAAGGAAGGGAGCCAGAGGGACAGATAGGCTCGCTGACGTAGGGTCTGTCAGGCTGGACGGAAGCAGACCAGTCATCAGACTCCCCGCACGCAGTGCCTGGACGGACAGGCGGCAGAAGCCTTTGTCTTGGATGGGGCCAGTGGGTCGGGGCCAGAGTTGGAGCCACGGGGTGCTGTGTGGACGTGGCAGGATCATGTTCCCAATGCCCCTTCATTCATTTGTGGCTCTTCACCCATGAGAGAGACAGAAGGGTCTGTCCAGGCTTCAACGTCTAGCTCAGAGGCAGCCCTCCCTCAGCCCTCACTTCCCAGCAGCCAACCTCTGGCCATGGGCTCTAGAAAGGACCCATGTCTCCAAGGAGTGCTGCTGGCACTGAGATGGTGCCCAGGCTAGAGAAGGGAGCTCACATTTGTGACCAGAGGAATCAATAGACGGCTGGAGGCAGACATGGGGCAACAGGATAGAGAAGGGGAGGGAGACAGACACAGAAACAGGGTGAGGGGCCGGGAGCTAGAGAGACCAGGCCCTCAAAGGGCTTGTGGCGGGGGCTCTCCACCCCCAGAAGGCCCAGCTCCCACCCATCTTCTCTGCCTTCAGCTCCCATCCTCATCCCTCCCCCTCCCTCCCTCCCTTGCTCCCGCCCAGCATGGCCATTGTCCAGGGCTCCAGAGGGGCTGTGTTTCAGGGCATGCTGGTCCCCCTGGGGCTTCTGGGAATTTCTCCATTCAGCACTTCCTATGGGAACGCTGGGTGGAGGGGCACTGGAAACCGGCCTTCAGTGCCCCAGGTCCTAGCCCCGCCCTGGAGGCCGAGGAGGGTTCTCTTACAGTAGCAAAGGGGAAGGGTTATTTTTAACTCCACTGACATGGGTTCTGGCCAAAAAATGTGGCTAAAGAGCCAGGGATGCCGTAAGGGTCCACCACCCCCTGGGCCTGTGGCTGTCCTGGGGCTGCTTCGAGGGTCCCTGCTCGGGGCCAGGACCCATGCGTCTATGGGGGTGGAAGGAAGGACTGCTCTCTGGAGTGGGGGGAGGCGAGCCTCCTGCCTGCCCAGAGACCCTGGCGGAGGGAGCCCCTGCCCACGGTGGGTCTGCCTTGTGTCTGACTGTGCCTTCTCCTGCAGAGGAAGATGGGGCTGAGCTGGACCTGAACATGACCCGCTCCCATTCTGGAGGCGAGCTGGAGAGCTTGGCTCGTGGGAGAAGGAGCCTGGGTAAGACTGAGGCTCCCAACAAGGGTCCTTTAAATTAGGACGGGGGTCAGGGAAAGAGAATGGGGGGGGTGGCAGCTCGTCAGAGGGTTCCGAGGGTCCCCTTACAACTCCCTTTCCCCCCACGTTCAGGACTGACCGCTCTGAGAAAGCAAAAGCATCCCTAAATGCCTGTGTTGAGTCATCACGCCCCCTCGCCCCCACACTATCTGTTTTCTAAATATAGTGCTTCGAAGCTCATTTATTCCTTATTTCCACCCTGGAGGTAGATATTATTAACCCCATTTCGCAGAAGTGGAAACTGGGGCCCAGAGAGGGGAAAGAAGTAGGTGAGGTCACGCCGCTAGAAAGCAGTAGGGCTGGGATCCCAACCCGCTCCCCTCGCTTGAACCCAGCATGGTCCCTGGCAGGCGGCGGGTCTCTTCTGCGGCTAAGGACTGTGGCCTGGGCTGGTAGACCTAGAGCAAAGCCCGGAACTGCCTCCTGGTCCCTTGCAGAGACCAAAGGAGACAGTAGATCACTAGGTCCCAGAGAAACCCTCCCAGGTGAGGCAAGTGCCCCCTCAAATCCCTCCTCCTCTTTGACCTGGAGTCCCCAAAACACAGCAGTTAGTGGCTGGAGGAACCTATGGATGAATCAGGCGGCCAAGTTCCACCCCCAATCTGTGCATGTGGGTGGGATACTTAGCTCTCAGAGCCTCCCGTCCTCTGTGCGTGGGTGGCAGCGGTAGCCTCAGTGCCTGCTGTAGGCTAGGCTCACCTCACTTCACACCTCAGATCCACAGGGGAGGGAGGCACTGTTATCCCACTTCATAGAGGAGGAAACTGAGGCTTTGAAAGCAGCAGTGGTGCAAGAATCCACAGCACCATAAGACAGCAGTGCAGGCGTGGTTTCCAGCTAATACGGTACCTGCATAACGATCACAGGTTGAGCAAGCCCATACATGTGTGAGATCATAAAGAATAATCAGGCCGGGCATGGTGGCTCATACTTGTAATCCCAGCACTTTGGGAGGCCGAGGTGGGTGGATCACAAGGTCAGGAGTTTGAGACCAGCTTGGCCAACACAGTGAAACCCCGTCTCTATTAAACATACAAAAATTAGCTGGGCATGGTGGGGCGTGCCTGTAATCCCAGCTACTCGGGAGGCTGAGGCAGGAGAATCACTTGTACCCAGGAGGTAGACGTTGCGGTGAGCTGAGATGGTGCCACTGCACTCCAGCCTGGGTGACAGAGCAAGACTCCATTAAAAAAAAAAGAATAATAAAATAGTTACGTGCCAGCAGAGGGAAACAGACATTTACCAAGCATTGACAACATGCCCCACGCTCTGAATTTTCTCTCTTGAAACCTACAGTGGTTCTTGGGTGTAGATGTCATTGTCCCATTTTGCAGATGTGGAAATGGAGGCTAAGCACAGCTCAGCTACCTGCCCAAGTCCTATGGCTGATAACAGCCACAGATTGAAACCGGAACCCTGGGGTTGAAGATGTGAGAAAGAGCAGTCCCGGGGGCACCCGCTGAGTTCCCCTGCCAGGCAGGGGAGGACTCTGGGCAGCTGCACGCTCCTGACTCAGGTTCCCTCTTCTCCCAGGTTCCCTGAGCGTTGCCGAGCCAGCCATGATCGCCGAGTGCAAGACGCGCACCGAGGTATTCGAGATCTCCCGGCGCCTCATCGACCGCACCAACGCCAACTTCCTGGTGTGGCCGCCCTGTGTGGAGGTGCAGCGCTGCTCGGGCTGTTGCAACAACCGCAACGTGCAATGCCGGCCCACCCAGGTGCAGCTGCGGCCAGTCCAGGTACGCAGGCCCCGCAGCCCCCCGAGGCTGGCCCGGGTGATGGGTGAGGGCCGCCCTTCTGGGGCTGGTACCTGGCCAGGCTTCCTTGACTGGGCGGAGTGGTGTGTCGAAGGACATTCCTGATTTGTTCCTGGGCTCTGTCCAGAGACACCCACTCTTGGGAAGCTTTTTCTGGGCAGGTGGACTAAGGCCACCATGAGTCCTCTGAGGTGGCCGAGGCCACTGTAGCCAAAAGCCTGTGAAGAGACGTATTTGCAGACATTTGTCTGACACTCAGAATGTTCTGGGCAGCTGCTCAGGTTTCCCCAAAACTCTCTCGATTCAGGGCTGTCTTGAGAAAGGCTCAGGTGGGTGCCCCTGCATATTTCACACCCGCTCGTGTCAACAAGCTGTGTCTTTAACAAGGAGGGTGCAGAGAGGCCCACCAGGTGACCGACACCATGGAGCTGGGGCAGGTCCCCTGACCACAGTGGAATGCTGACTCTGCCTCTCTTCGGAGGGATGGGGGATACATACACTGGACTCAGGGAAAATTCAGAGTAGAGGCTGTCACAGGGAGCACACTGATCTCAGCCTGGATGGGGCAGGGTCAGAGAAGCCAGAGCTGTTTCTGCTTCTTGTGGAAAGGTTCCTGCACGTGCCAGGCCAGCCTCGCCCAGAAGCTGGGCAGTGGGCACTCCTCTAGCTCAGTCCCAGCCCCTGCTTGATGCTCTGCCTGCTCGACCACACCCCCTTCTCCTGCCACCAGCCCGTGGCCCCTCTTCCTGCCCACCTTCCCTCCCTGGCTTGGGCCCTGTGCCCGGGACTACAAATGTCACTCCACCCCACCGCCCACTCTTGTGGTATCGCCTGTTCTCAAAGCTGCCAGCTCTGTGGATGGACAACTGACCTCTGACCTCCCTGTCCCCACCTCCCTCCGAGATGAAGTCTCCCCCCACTTCCTTCCAGACAACCATCTCCCGCCTCTGCCGCAGCCCTGACCTTGGCTGGCGCTCCGGGAATGAGGATACCACAGGCCCTAGCTCAACCCGGAAATGCCTTTCTGGCTCTCCGTCTCTGGGGGCACCGAGGGGGGCCCCAGGTCGGGAGGGCTTGTTTTGATGGAAAAGCTATGAGGAGGGCAGAGGGCAAGGTCCTGCTATTGTTTGGGCCAAAGCATTTGCCCCACAGCCTGCTCTCCAGGCTTTCGAGGAAAGATCCATGCAGGGGACACCGGGATGGGAAGAGCAGGCCACTCAGGCTCCCTGGACTCCTGGCTGTGTGGCCTCACAGAGGCATTTTGTGGCTCTGTCCTCCAGGTGAGAAAGATTGAGATTGTACGGAAGAAGCCCATCTTTAAGAAGGCCACGGTGACACTGGAGGACCACCTGGCATGCAAGTGTGAGACAATGGCGGCTGCACGGGCTGTGACCCGAAGCCCGGGGAGTTCCCAGGAGCAGCGAGGTAACCACCTCTCCAGGGTAACCACCTTTCCAGGCTTAGTCCTCAGCTCCTTTCCCCTGCAGAAGCTCCCTTTCCCTTTCCCTGGGGGCAGGAGCCAGTCTTAAAAATGGAGATGGGGCCGGACAAAGTGGCTCACACCTGTAATCCCAGCACTTTGAGAGGCCAAGGCGGGTGGATCACCTGAGGTCAGGAGTTCGAGACCAGCCTTACCAACATGGTGAAACCCTGTCTCTACTAAAAATACAAAAATTAGCTGGGTGTAGTGACGGGTGCCTGTAATCCCAGCTACTAGGGAGGCTGAGGCAGAAAAATCACTTGAACCTGGGAGGTGGAGGTTGCAATGAGCCGAGATCATGCCATTGCACTCCAGCCTGGGGGACAGAGCGAGACTCCGTCTCAAAAANATATATATATATATATATATATACTTGATTGATACTAACGCTAGACACCAGCACAAGAAAGCTTTCACCATTCTCTCTCCTAAAATAAGGCATCATTCCATTTCCAAGTAACTCTTTAGGGATTTGTGTTTGAATGCAGAGACCTATTACGAGATGTTGCCAAAACAAAAAAGAAAAACTCCAACAGTAAATAAAATCAGAAATGTCATCAAATTATTCCTTTCCCCAAACTAAATATGACTTTCAAGGAAAACTCACACTTTGATGCTTTCTGTCACTACATTAATATTCAGAGGCTTAGCATCCAGAAGGCACTGGCTAGACACAGGCTAGGGGTTGGGGAGGGACCCTGCCAGTAGGGTTTGCCTACACTCAAGCATTAAGAAAGTACATTTGCCGGGCACAGAGGCTCACACCTGTAATCCCAGCACTTTGGGAGGCAGAGGCGGGTGGATCACCTGAGGTCAGGAGTTCAAGACCAACCTGAACAACATGGAGAAACCCCCATCTCTACTAAAAATACAAAATTAGCCGGGCATGGTGGTACACACCTGAAATCGCAGCTACTCAGGAGGCAGGAGAATTGCTTGAACCCGGGAGGCAGAGGTTGCTGTGAGCTGAGATCCTGCCATTGCACTCCAGCCTGGGCAATGAGAGCAAAACTCCATCGAAGAGGGGAGGGGAGTGGAGGGGAGGGGAGGGGAGGGGAGGGGAGGCTATAAGACACAGTACCTTTTGATGGTGACTGGCACTAAATCTGAAGTGAATCTGATTTTCTGACCTCGGTGACAGTTATGGTTTTTCCAGTCATGTGACCAAACATGGCACATTTTCACTAAGCTTCAGTTTCCTTGTTTCTAAAGGATGTTTACAAAAATGATGTTTACAAGCATGATGTTTCTTCCTTCATGAAATTAAATATGAGTTCATCTGTGTCATGTACACAAAGTACTTAGCACAAATTAGAGAGGTACAGTAAACATGCAATACATGTATGGGATCCTTAGCTTTCTATTTTCATTCCCTTCTTTTTATCCTAAACACCATACTTCAAAACAGGGTCAGGCCAGGTATGGTGGTTTATGCTTGTAATCCCAGCACTTTGGGAGGCCGAGGTGAGTGGATCATTTGAGCCCAGGAGTTCAAGACCAGCCTGGGCAACATGGTGAAACTCCGTCTCTATTAAAAAAAAAAAAAAACACACACACAAAAATTAGCCAGGAGTGGTGGCTCACACCTATAGCCCCAGCTACTTGGGGGACTGAGGTGGGAGGATGGGTTGAGCCTGGGGAAGTTGAGGCTGCAGCAAGCCAAGATCATGCCACTGCACTCCAGCCTGGGTGACAGAGACATTAGCTCAACAAAAAAGGGGTCACCCCATTTCTATGCTTCCTAAATTCCATCTGCCTTAATTCAACAAATATTTATTGAATTCTTCTATGTTCTAGCTACTCAAACATGAAAAACAGAGTCCTCACCCTCAAGGACATATATATAATACATTAACAATAACAATCTCTATGATAAAATTCTTTCTTTCTTTGCTATTGGCACTAAAATAGCTGGTATCATATGTGGCCGTGTAGTACACATGAAGTTTACTTTAGTGGAGTGTGTTCAGGAGTAGGAAAGAACCACAATTAATTTTCTTTCCATACCAGCTCATATAATGAATCATTTCATTTCAAATAACAGTACATTAAAAGTTTAAATTGATAAGTCTAGGTATTTTGAATGTTGCCATAATTTTACAGGTGGTAAAAGAGGCTCAAAATGTTCTTTTTTTTTTTTTCTGCAGCTGTGCATTTTAATTTCCTATTTTTCCCCTGTGGATTCACAGAGGAAATCATGTTAGAAAAAAAAAGAAGTCGGCCAGGTACAGTAGTTCATGCCTGTAATCCCAGCACTTTGGGAGGCCCAGGCAAGCGGATCACCTGAGGTTAGGAGTTCGAGACCAGCCTGACCAACATGGAGAAACCCTGTCTCTACTAAAAATACAAAATTAGCCAGGCGTGGTGGCACATGCCCATAATCCCAGCTACTTGAGAGGCTGAGGCAGGAGAACCACTTGAACCCGGGAGGCTGAGGTTGCGGTGAGCCAAGATTGTGCCATCACACTCCAGTCTAGGTAACAAAAGCAAAGACTTCTTTTGTCTCAAAAGACAAAAAGGAAAAAAAGAAGTCATCCTAAAGCTGAATAGAAGCCTGGCCAACATGGTGAAACTCTGTCTCTACTAAAAATGCAAAAATTAGCCAGGTGTGGTGGTGTGCCCTGCAATCCCAGCTACGAGGGAGGCTGAGGCAGAAAAATTGCTTAAACCCAGAGGACAGAGGCTGCAGTGAGCCAAGATCACACCACTGCACTTTAGCCTGGGTGACAGAACAAGATCCCATCTCAAAAAAAAAAATAAATCAAAATAAAATAAAAAGGATTTAGTGATTATTGAGATTAAATACTTATCAAAACTCCATGGGCATGTGAATTACTTGAACCTGGGAGGCAGAAGTTGCAGTGAGCTGAGATCCCACCACTGCAATCCAGCCTGGGTGACAGAGTGAGACCTTGAAAAAAAAAAAAAAAAAAAATGGAGAGGGGATGAGACCTGCCCCCTGTGAAATTCATTGGAGGCTTTCTTTCCATCTTGCTGAGAACAAGCCAGATTCCTCCCTGGCTTGGGAGCCCTGCATGAGAATTAGCCCCTGGCTGGCCCTCTGGTCTCTGCCAAGTAGGACCCTTCACCTAAGCCACCCCCACCAGGTAGGCGTCTTTCAGTGGCCAAATGAGTTTCTGCCCCAGGGCCTTAGCACACACCACTGTGGCTGAAACACACTTCCAGCTCTCCACAAGCCTAGCTCCTTCTCTTCACTGGAGTCTCAGCTCAGAAGTCTCCTCCTCTTGGAAGTCTGCCCTGGTCACCCCGTCCAGAGCAGCTCCATTTCCAGTCTTGCTACCACAGACTACTGCTTTGTTAGATGTGGGCATGGGACAGTGGAAGGAATCTGGGTGAGAGAAAGCTCCATGTGCATCGACTTCAGATACTGGGCAGCTTGTCCTGGGGGTGAGAAATCAAACTCATTTCTCGTACCCTTGCGCGGGGGAATTAGGACAAGCGGGGAAAAAGACACTGGAGTGAGATTTTGGCTCCATACATAGAACAGCTAGCTGGTGATCAGTCGGGGGTTCAAGGTGGAATTCACAGCATTGGGTGGTAGTGAAACCCCATCTCTACAAAAAGAAATGCAAAAATCAGCCAGGCATGGTGACACGTGCCTGTAGTCCCAGCTACTTAGGAGGCTGGGGTGGGAGAATCGCTTGAGGCTGGGATGTCGAGGCTGCAGTGAGCCGAGATGGCACCACTACACTCCAGCCTGGGCGACAGAGCAAGACTGCCTCAGGAAAAAAAAAAAAAAAAGATTAATATGATTAGATGAGCATTTTAAAAAATCACATACGTGATAGTTCTTTTTCAGTAACTTTCTATTATTAGAGACAGGACAATCTCTTAATTCTCATTTTTTATTAACAAGCCCCTGAAGACGAGGCTGTTTCTTGGCCTCTGTGTCGTATTCCCAGAGCTGAGCTGAGTTGCTAGATGCCATGGAAAGACTGATCGTTTGACAGCTTCAAACTGATGTGTTGTAAATTATTGAGTTAACATAGGGGATGATTTCTCTATTAAGGGAAAATTATACATTTTTTCATTTTCTTTTGAGACAATCTCACCCTGTTACTGAGGCTGGAGTGCAGTGGCACGATCTTGGCTTGCTGCAACCTCCACCTCTGGGTTCAAGCAATTCTCCTGCCTCAGCCTCCTGAGGAGCTGGAATTATGGGCACTTGCCACTATGCCGGCTAATTTTTGTATTTTTAGTAGAGATGGGGTTTCACCATGTTGGCCAGGCTGGTCTTGAACTCCTGACATCAAGTGATCCACCTGCCTTGGCCTCCCATGGTGCAGGGATTATAGGAGTGAGCCATCACACCCAACCTCTTTCTTTTTGCACCCAGGCTGAAGTGCAATGGCATGATGATAGTTCACTGCAGCCTTGAACTCCTTCGTGGGCTCAAGCAATCCTCCCTCCTCAGCCTCTGGAGTACCATCACGCCCGGCTAATATTTTAAATTTTTGTAGAGACAGGGTCTCGATTTATTGCTCAGGCTGGTATCAAACTGCTGGGTTCAGGTGATCCCCCCACCTCAGCCTCCTAATGTGCTGGAATTATAAGCATTGAGCCATCACACCTGATCTTCTTTATGTTTAGAATGAGTTACTTTATGTATTTGTTTCACGTGATTTTCTAAACCAGTTTCTTGGGAGGTGCATTATACCAGTGAAACGTAGATGACATAAAGTCCCATCATTTTAGTTCTAGTATTTTGGCTGAGTATGACAGTGTTTCTGTCACTTATCCGCAGGCCAGGCTCACTGGTGGTGTGGCCTCTGTCATACTGTGGTCGGTGTGAGACCTCGGGCTCAGATCTGCACGCTGTCACTAGAGCAGTGTGGTGACCTTGTGCTTGCCTAGGCTTTGCTTAGCCCAGTGTCCTGCTGATGGCCCAGGCTCTGGGGCAGAAACACCTTGTGACCTTCAGTGACCCTCCTGATGTCTTCTATCTGAGGAGACCTGAAGCCCACTCAAGTCCCTGAACTGCTAGAAAATCTGCCCATTTGCAGAGATTGGATAGCTGCCTCATGGGAGCTGGCATCTGTAAGGTGGGAGGTCGGGTGTCAGAGCCCGGCAGGCTAGGAGAGCTCAAAAGGCTCCCAGGAAGAGACTGGCCTTGAGCTCAGCTGTCCCTGCCAGGGTGGCCATCTCGGACACCAGGAGGGAAAGAAGCGTAAGAGCTCCCCTTGACCGAGGTTCACAAGCATCGTTGTTTGTGCTCAGTGGTAAGAAGTGTGTGCTCTAGAGGCAGATCCCTGAGTTCAAATCCCAGTCTCTTGGCTTCATTTTCCTCATCTGTTAAGTGTGGGTAACAGCACCTGCCAGTAACAGCACCTGCTGTAAAAGGAAATGAGCGTAGAGCAGCACCAGGTGCATGGTGAACACTAGCTGGGGGTTTCTGGCCATTTCCATGTATTGTCTCCTAACGCTAGGAGGCCAGGGCTGCTGTCTCCTCTACTTTAAAGATGTGGAAATCAGCAGGGTGCAGTGGCTCACTTCTGTAATCCCAGCACTTTAGGAGGCCGAGGCAGGTGGATCACTTGAGGTCAGGGGTTCAAGACCAGCCTGGCCAACATGGTGAAACTCCATGTCTACTGAAAATTGAAAAATTAGCCAGGTGTCATAGTGCATGCCTATAGTTCCTCCCAGCTACTCAGGAGGCTGAGGCAGGAGAATCGCTTGAACCTGGGAGGTGGAGGTTGCAGTGAGCCAAAGTTGTGCCACTGCACTCCAGCCTGGGCAACAGAGTGAGACTCTGTCTAAATAAATAAATAAGTGGACATCGAGGCACAGGGCATTTAAGTGACGTGCTCCAAAGTGAACAATATGTGGGAGAGCCCAGATTTGAGCCCAGGAGGGTCAGATCCGCACCCTGAGTTGTGGCCCATCACAATGTACCGCTTCTCAGAGTGGCACGGGGCAGGTGGCAGGTGACAGGCACAACTATATCGAAGGCCCAGCTCCATGGTGGGAGTGTGATTCTGGCCCAGAGCCCAGTGGCCTTCCCATCATGTGACCGGATGGGGCCGAGAGGTTGGGAGGAAACCTCAATAGTAGATCAAGCCAAGGAACATAAGAAAAAAGTGAGTTGTAGCAGCTGCCGTGTGCTGACCGCTTCTTACTCTGAGCGTTGTATTATCTCTCCCAGGTCTGGGGGTTGGCCAGGCTCAGCCGGGCAGTTCTGTGGGCCCCTGTACTGGTTGCAGTCAGCTGGAGGCCTGGGCTGTGGTCACCTGGAGGCTCAACTGGGACAGCTGGGCCTCATTTCCTTTCCCTGTAGTCCAGGGCCTCTGGCTCTATGGGGAGAGCCAGTCCCCACATGGCCTCCCATGTGGCCTCTCCAGCAGGGTAGCCAGACCTGATGTGTGGTGGCCCAGGGACCCCAGAGCATGAAGGTGAGAGCTGCCAGGCCTTCTTAAGGCCTCTGCCTGGAACTGGCACGGCACCACTTCTGCCTCTCTTGTTGGTTAACCAGATCCAGCTCCAGGCCAGATTCAAGGGGCAGGGCAGTAAACTCTACTGGTCAGTGGGAAAAGACAGATGACTCGAATCCATACTTAGTCCCCCGGGCTCTGTGTCCGGCACTGTGCAGAGAGCTTTGCCAGCATGTTGTCATTGATTCCTCCCACCAGTCCTATGAGGCGGGCAGTCTTATTGTCCCCATTCCACAGAAGGAGGTGCTGAGGCTCAGAGAGGTTCAGTCATTGTCCCCAAGGCCCGTACAGGGCTGGTGGGCAATGGAGGTGGGATCCTGGACCCTGTCCCAGATTCCCCTCCTGTCCCTTTCCCAAGCCCAGAAGACCAGGGGAGGTCTGTGGTAGGCCTAGGTCGGGGGAGAGACCGTCCCAGTGGTCCACATGCTGATGAGGTCTTTCTTTTTCTTGTGCAGCCAAAACGCCCCAAACTCGGGTGACCATCCGGACGGTGCGAGTCCGCCGGCCCCCCAAGGGCAAGCACCGGAAATTCAAGCACACGCATGACAAGACGGCACTGAAGGAGACCCTCGGAGCCTAGGGGCATCAGCAGGAGAGCGTGGGCAGGTGAGGGCCAGGCGGGGAAACTGAGGCCCAGAACCCTGTGTTTCCTTCTCCCTGGCCTGTGGATGGGGTCAGGGAAAATAATTTTTCCATATAAAATCCGGTCTCTGAGCCTTGGCCCTCTCTGCCTAGTTATCAGCTGGGGCCAGGTGGGTGGTGGGATTTGGAGACCCCAGCCCAGCTGTGTCCCCACACGCCCTAAGAGAATGGGAGGTCTAAATCTTACTTCCCAGCCCCTCAAAGCCCTTAGCCCTGAGCAGGCTGGAAATCCGGGGTGATTAATTGACCCAGCTCCCTGTCTCTGGCATGGGGGACATATGAATGTGGGATGGACCCTCTAGGCTGTCTCTGACCCCCGCATTTCTCTGCTTGGCCTGCAGGGTTATTTAATATAGTATTTGCTGTATTGCCCCCATGGGGTCCTTGGAGTGATAATATTGTTTCCCTCGTCCGTCTGTCTCGATGCCTGATTCGGACGGCCTATGGTGCTTCCCCCGCCCTTCCACGTATCCGTCCACCCTTCCATCAGAGGGTCTCCTCCCAGCGGCCTCCAGCATCTTGCCCAGCAGCTCAAGAAGAGAAAGAAGGACTGAACTCCATCACCATCTTCTTCGCTTGACTTCAAGAACTTGGGATAAGAGTGTGAGAGAGACTGTTGGGGTCACCGTTTGGGGAAAACCGGCTCCTTCCTCTGCACCTGGCCTGGGCCGCACCCAAGCGCTATGGACTGGCCGAGGGACCCTGCACGTGGCCCCGAGAACCTCTCAGCATAGCCTGCCTGATCCCTGGACCCCTGGCCAGCTCTGATGGGAGGCACCTCCAGGCAGGCCAGGCTACCTCGGACTCCGTGGCTAAGACCACAGACAGGCACACAGACTGGAGAAAACCCCTCCCACCGTGCCCAAATCCCAGTCACCTCGTCTCCCTGGCACCTCTGTGAACAGTGGCTTCATTTTGTTTTCACTTTGAAGACGTGGACTCCTCTGGGTGGGTGTGGCCAGTGTACCAGGTGGCTGGGTGCCCTCTCAGAGGAGTTAGAGATGGAGTTTACTATTGAGGTGGCTGTAGATGGTAACCTGGGCGTCCCTGCCTCCTGCCACCCCCTGCTTCCCACACTCCACTCTGATTCACCTCTTGCTCTGGTTCCTTTCATCTCTCTACCTCCACCCCGCATCTTCCTCTTGTCCTGGCCCTTCAGTTTGCTCCACCAAGAGGCTCTTGAACCCTTTATTAAGGCCCCAGATGATCCAGAGGCCAAGGCAGCAGGGGACCTGCCCATCCTATTCCAACCCAGCCAAGACTGCCATGTAAGGTTGTGCAGGGTGTGGACTGCACAAGGACATTGTATGCAGGGAGCACTGTTCATACCATAGATAAAGCTGATTTGTATATTTATTAGGACAATGTCTGGCAGATGTAGGTAAAGAGGAAAAGGATCCTTTTCCTAATTCACACAAAGCCTCCTTGCGGACTGGCTGTGCCACTGATGCAGCCTGTGGCTTGGAGTGGCCAGATAGGAGGGAGACTGTGGTCGAGGCAGGGACCCCCATTTCCACATGACCCCCATTTCCCAGAGTCCTCTGCTCCAGCAACTGCCCTTCCAGGCGGGTGTGGGACACCCGGGAGAAGGTCTCTAAGGGAGGGTGCAGCCCCTCTTGCTCACACCCCTCCCTGCTTGCACACTTCCCCATCTTCGATCCTTCCAAGCTCCACCTCTGGTGGCTCCTCCCAGGAAACCAGCTCGTGTGCTGGGAGTGGGGGAGAGAAGGGAAAAGATCCCCAAGGCCCCCTAGGGATGGGATCCGAGCTCCCACCTCCCTTCCCGCCAACTGCACTTTCCCCTTCCCCTCCTCCAAAACCTGCTTCCTTCAGTTTGTAAAGTTGGTGATTATATTTTTGGGGGCTTTCCTTTTATTTTTTAAATGTAAAATTTATTTATATTCCGTATTTAAAGTTGTAAAAAAAAAAATAACCACAAAACCAAACCAAATGAATCTGCTGGAGGTCTGTCTGTTGGCATCGTGCGTGACAATTAACCTTTCTGCCTTGGCAGGATGTGCCGACAGCTTGCCGTGTGTTCCTCTCTCTCTGGGAGCCTCAGGCGCGATCGCACACACTGGCGCACGCACGCACACGCACACACGCTCACACATGCGTGCACATACACGCAGGCCTGCAGCTTGGGGGAGGCCTCTGTCTAGTGGGAGGAAGAGACACACAGGTCATTCTGTCAGTCTTGGTCCTAATAGATTGCCCCATTTACTTGGGGCGCAGCTCCCGACACATGGACCTGTGCCTGTCCCTGGTAGTTGACGAGAGATGGGTTTCCACAGCCTGAGGGTCTCCATAGAGGAAGTGGATCCTCAGGATCGTGGGGTGGGCTGGCTGTGGGGAGGGGGTGTCCACTGCAGGGAACACTGGAAAAGTCCCAGAGGGTAAGGTGGTATTTGGAAGGAAACAGCGGAAAGCAGGATCTGGGGTCTAGTGTCTGCTTAGCCCTTAGCCAGCTGTGTGGCCTTGGGCAAGTCCCAGACCTACTCCAGCCAGAGAGGATGAGGAGAGATGCATGGCTTCCAAGCTCCTGTGTTCTGTGCTTTCTCTTTCTCATGAAGACTTGGGTACCAGCCCACAAAAAAGAGGCTAAATGTGTGGACACGGTGGCTCACGCCTGTAATTCCAGCACTTTGGGAGGCCAAGGCAGGTGGATCATGAGGTCCAAAGTTTGAGACCAGCCTGGCCAACATAGTGAAACCCCATCTCTACTAAAAATACAAAAAGATTAGCCAGGTGTGGTGGCGAGTTCCTGTAATCCCAGCTACTTGCAAGGCTGAGGCAAGGAGAATCGCTTGAACCTAGGAGGTGGAAGTTGCAGTGAGCCAAGATTGCGCCACCGCATTCCAGCCCACGCAACCACGCAAGACTCTGTCCCAAAAAAAAAAAGAAAAAAGAAGAGGCTAAATGTGTTCTAGATCCCACCTGCGGTGTGGACTGGGGCTGAGAGGGACACAGGAGCTAAAGATCTGGCTCTTAAGTACAATCTAAAACAAAAACCATTTTGCCCCCTGAAGTAGTGAGCTCCCTGTCACGAAAGTGTGTAAGTGAAAACTGGGTAACAATGTGGCTGAGGTTAGACTGAATAACATTTGGGCTCCCTGCAATTGATTGATAGATTGACTGATTTATTCCTTCACTCACCTTCTTGAACCTCTGCCCTGTGCCTGTCACAGCCAGGAGGTTTCATAGGTAATTTGATTTGAATTCATCCTGAGGTTCCTAGCCTTTGAGGAAATGGAGTCCCCCCATGGTGGCAGTGGGCCATGCAGATCAGAGGAATCTGTTTACCTGGCAGCTCCTACCCTTGTCTGTCCAATCCTCACTGGGGCCCTCCCTTCTCCCCTAAATTCCCAGGGTTCTCAGTTCCCTGGGGACAAGAGAAGGATCTGGTTGGGAGGAGGAAGAGACAGCTCCATCAGGAGACAGACATCAGAGGTCAGATGGAGCACCCAGTGCACGCGGCATCCTGGCAGCTACCAACAGCTGGGCTGTGCCGTGATTGCTGCAGGCACTTCCCAGACAGAGCTGCCTGAATCTTTCCCCTTTCCTGGGCATTTGCATTGGCCCCATTCACCCATCCATACATTTGCCCACTCACCCATTCATCCATCCATCCACCCACCCAACTATCCATCCATCCATCCATCTGCCCATCCATCCATCCATCCATCCAACCATCCATCCACCCATCCATCCATTCATCCATCCACCTATCCATCCATCCATTCATCCATCCACCCACCTATCCATCCATCCATCCATCCATCCATCCATCCATCCAACCATCCATCCACCCATCCATCCATCCATCCATCCATCCACCCACCCACCTATCCATCCATCCATCCATCCATCCATCTGCCCATCCATCCATCCATCCATCCACCCACCTATCCATCCATCCATCCACCCATCCATCCATCCATCCACCCACCTATCCATCCATCCATCCATCCATTCATCCATCCACCCACCCATCCATCCATCCATCTATCCATCCATCCATCCATCCAACCATCCAT